AATTTTGTTTCCCATCAAATGAAGTTCAAAAGAATTTTAAACATGAAAAAAGAAAAACATTCTCAATGCAGTTAACATTTTGATTACAATCATTAGCAACATTTGATTCCAGTAACAACCAGACTTCCTTGTACTATCATCTACATGCATACACTTGTCCTCAACTTTGGCTCAAAAGAACAGATTGCAGATGCTAGATCTTAACACCTTCTTGTGCACTATATAAAATGAAAAGCACGGCATTTACATCACATGAGCAAATTAAAGTAAAACCAAACAATATACAGTACCATTTGAAGTTTTGACTATGTTCTTGATCATTTCTTTAAATCTCTCACATTCTCCACTCCAAGAGTGAACCTTGCTGTAGTTCTCTCGAAGCTTCATTGCATTGGTTAGTCGCTCCTAAGGACTTTGATTGGACAACTCTTGAATCCTTTGCGCCCATTGAGCTGCATCATCATCTGATTCAATAACTACAGACTGTCCATCCTCTACTTTATGCAAAGCCTCAGATATTCCTGATTCACCATACATAAGAACAGGAACACCAGCAGATATGGCCTCCAGGGCCACCAACCCAAAGCCCTCAGTACGGGAAGGCAGGGAAACCAAATCTGACTGATAGAACATCATCTTAAGTTCCTCTTGTTGGCTGCAGTAACTACGAATGGTTAGTTGGTTGCGCTTTATGCTGGTTTTTTCAAGAAACCACTGTTCCACTTTTTGGTGCTCACCAGGAGATGAACCTACAAAAGTCAGTTTGAACTTCCTACCAAGAGAACCAATGGCATTTGCAATTATATCGTAGCCTTTCAGGGAAAGATCCTCAAAGGTTGCTCGGCCAAACATAAACACATTGAAGTTCTTGACTACTGTTCTGTCTACAGCCAACTGTGATTTATTTGAAAACTTTTCAAAGATCCCAGGAGTGATAAGCTCCACTTTAACATTAACAAGACTTCTACTGTACAACTGTTGCAGACGTGAGCCAACAGCTACAACTGCATCCGCTGCTTTACACAACTCAATTTCCATCTTGTGCTTCCTCTCG